CTTTGCCAACTTGGACAAGAAAATCGCCTCAACCGCAGATAGGCCCTGATGTGTAAGGCTGAGAGGATACCTTCTCTTGTTATTACAGACTGTGAATGAAGTAGACGAGAAGAGTCTATTTCTTGTGCCCTCCGTGCCGTGAAGATGCGGCCGGTCCAACAGACTCCATTCGGAAACGGCCCACGCCTTGCAGTTCGGTCAGCACTTCCATTAGATGCTTTACATGTCAGCATTAGAGGCATCATTGGTAGCAGCTACCTGCTTATAGGTGCCTATATATCCAGGTGGTTCCCAGGGCAGGCCAAGATTGTCCAGATTTGTGCACTCAATGTTCGTGGTGATGTTCATTTTTGAATGCTACCAAATTCTGGAGACTCTACAGTACCTGCTACAATCTGTCCTTGGCCACTAAATAGACCACCCTCCCCCCGACGGGGAGTTTCTGAAATATTTAGGACAGAACGGGCGACTAGGGTTTAGCATGTGAAAGGTCCTTGTGTACTTTATACAACAACCCTGCTGTGAGCGATGATTCGATGTGGCTGATTGATATCTCTGTGGCAAGACCACGTGTCAAATAACAGAGCCATCGATTGATAGTTGAAGAAAGTACCTTGGAGCTAAAGGTAGGTAAATAGTCCATCGACAGGTCGTCCGTTCTCGGCCCAGCGTCCTCAAACTACTCCTTGAGCCGTCAGCGTGATTAGAGCTGTACGGCCTCATCCGATACATCAGGCTCCATGACTCCCCTGGGTTTTTGCGAGCCATGACCGTTAAGAGCAATGTAAAAGCATTTACGGATCGTCCAAAAGCACGGGCTGGGTGTCGCGATAATTTGGTGTTGAAGGATTGTTGGTGCTCCACGGACCGGGCCATCGGACGAACAACATTAGCCTTGCGTGCGCGCTTCGAAACATTAGGCTGCCAACGAGTCCTGACGACACGTCATGTTTCCTACCATGTTGGGGGATCGGTAAAGTTGTGTCATCACTCCGCTGTGGACTATAATCGACGGATATTTAAAGGATAGGGTCTTTGAAGGACCTCGAGCCTGTCTGCTTGCACCTCTCAGCTAACTCGCCGATAGATTTTGTGCCTTGTGCAAGAGGCAAAGTGTATCACAAGAATTCAACTTGCAAACAAAAGCGACAACATGACTATAAAACCAAATGCGAAGGACTCGATGAAGTCCACCTGGCGACTGGCCGATAGGAGCACATGGGCCAGGGAGCACTGGATGATCGAGCTGTTCAACGCGCATCCTGTCGACCTGGACAAGCCCATACCAGTGCATCCCAAGACGGACAAGATGCCACATGTCTCTCAGTGGTCGCAGCATCTATGGATCCTCACTTACGCGCTGCTTCCACTCGGGATCCAAGAGGTCTGGACATCGTTGACTGGGCGGCAGAGCCCAGGCTATCTTGGCCTCTTCGCTCTCTACCTCTCTGCCTCGACCGCCATCGCCATCCGCGAAGTCCATATCCTTCGCCGCCTGGGGCACAAGTATGGGTTCCTGGACGGGGACGTAAGTCAGCGTGACGGGGTTCCAGACGTGGGCGTGGCAAAGATTGTCGCCTCTCTCCTCAAAACAACCGGCTCCCGAATCGCCATGGCTCTTTATATGACCCGTAACCACCGCCAATCCCCCGCGGCCTCATTGGGTGACTGGCAATGGTGGGCTTGGCTTGCCGTTGAGAATGGCCTCTATAGTGTCACCCTTGACTTTTGGTTTTACTGGTACCATCGCGCCATGCATGACATCCCATTCCTATGGAAGTACCATCGCACGCATCACCTAACTAAACACCCTAACCCGCTTATGACAGCCTATGCTGATCACGAGCAGGAATTCCTTGACATGGTTGGCATGCCTTTCCTGGCCTACATGACGCTCTGGGCTATAGGCTTACCGCTTGGATTCCATGAATGGTGGATATGCCACCAGTACGTGGTGTATTCGGAGATTTGGGGGCATAGTGGTGTCCGGGCTAATTTTGCGCCGCCCTCGACCGTCGTTTGGCTCCTTGAAGCGTTCCGTATGGACCTTGTGGGCGAGGATCATGACTTGCACCATCGCAAGGGCTGGAGGAAGAGTTTCAATTATGGCAAGCAAACACGGGTGTGGGATCGCATCTTTGGCACTTGCGCTGACCGCATTGAGTCGGCGGCTGGTAATCTTGACTACTCGGACCAAGTAACAATGCCAATATTTTAGTATATATAGGGTTAGTTGAACTATATAAATGCCTTGCTCTGAGTAATAATATGTTGTGGCTGGGTCGAGACGGGCGTACTTGAGCATTCGGGTACGATAGTAAAAAGGGGTCTCGCAAACCAATCAAACTCTGACATGGACATGAAGTCCGCCCAGCTTGGTACGACGGCGCTTTTGCCGTACGTATAATTGACAAGTCATTCTTCCCCATGTCGCAGAATTTTGGTCACGGCCAAAGCACTGGTATCCAAAGCCAAGAAATTTATACATACCGTAGTGACCTGCCATGTACTCTTCGTGGAGGACAACATTCCTATCTGGGTTACACAGATGATTTCGTGGTCCATCTAAGCCACAGTTGGTGTTGGTCTCTACTCCGTACTTGCAAATATTATCATGTCTAGATTACTTGTATTGCTCCAGCGGTAATAGAAAAGACCAAGGGTGACGGTACAAGACCCCGCGAAGTAGTCATGGGCCATCTAATACCATCAAACTAGGTAAAGGTGGCAAGCAAGTCAGCGCAACACACGGTCAGAAATGGGAGCTCATGGGTGAACTTGGGCCGAGGAAGCAGTGGTCCTATAAACACAATCGGTTTGCTTACTACATCTCAACTTGGCGGTCCAAATGAAAAATAATAGTAACTCACGTCGCTACAACTCATGTTTAAACTGGAAAGATCCCTTATCAACTCAGTGACCAACTAGCGGTCAGATGAGACAGAGTTGAACAAGTCGCGGCAAGGCACAGCTGCAATATGAAGGCACACCACGTAATCAGCTCTGGCACTTTTCCGGCATCGAAGGTGCCTCTCGCACATGTCTCTCCTGTCGCCTGTCCTTGTCTATCAACTAGTGCAACGAGGCCAGCCATAAATGATGTGCGGGATCGAGGGGGGGCGTTTCGCAACACGCTTCGGGGATGAACGGCTTGAGGGCATTGTGAATAGAACCAGATAGGAAATGGGTGTGTCACACACTCACAAGGCTCACGCATCTCTTGCGCAAAGCATGTCATATGGAACAAGCACAGAAGGTGGCTCGGCAGCCGAGCAAAGCAGGCCTGAGCACGAGCTTGAGCTTGAGCATCGATCTGGTCGAGCATGGATGGCATCGACATGCCGCCACCCCCTCTCTCTGTCTGCACCAGAGGTTCCTTTGCAGCGAGGCAACGCAGTTATCCATGTACACGCTTCTGATGCATGCGCATGCTTGCATGGCCGCAACGTCGAGGGAGGTATATGAGGGTAAGGCGTGAGCTAACCCCGGGAAGGCTTTAGCTCAAGCTGCCTGCGCAAAAGACGTTTTCGCCTCAGATGTTGTTTCGGGCGATGAAAACCACCAACAAACCAAACACAGCGGGCGGGAAGTGCAATGCGTTTCTCCCCAGAGGAACACATGCTCCGTGCTCGGGACAAGTTTAGAAATCATGGACCAAAGGAGCCCCCTCAGCTGCGTAGTGTTTGATAGCTCTGCCGTGATGGAGGGGATGAACGGGCGGCAGCTCATGCGGGCTTTCGAGCAACCCTGCGGAGTAAAGGAGAGGAAGCTCTGTGACGTCGCTGGCCGTTTCCAAATGTTCCAGATATTCTTGTATCCGGACGTGCAATTGCGGGTCCGATGAGTTGCCCCAACCCTTTTCTGTGTACCGAGCCAACGAGCGTGGCATTCCGTCTCGTCTGTTTGCAATGGCTTCCAGGGCGTGGCCCCACCGCAGACGGCACCTGGACTTGATGGCATCTGCGCCATCGATGTCCATTCTAAAGTCTGGTGCGTAGCTCGGGGCGGCCTAGGGGGCAACTGATGATGTGCGCATAGTACTTTGTACCAGTGGACCCGGCATGTTCCAATGCCTCGGTGCTGAGTGGAATCAACTCTGATCAATGCTTCCAGATTGTCCCTTGGTGCGTGCCCCGTGCCTCGGGGTGCCTGTGATGCAAGGAAGGGTCGACGGTGGCTCCCCGGCCGCTTCTGCCTCCCCCTTGCCCCCTGTTCTCCTTTCCTGCTGATTGGACGCCTGTGCCCAACAAATTTCATCCACTGAAGTCGGGACTTGGAGGCTGGAGCCTGCCACGCGCCCCTCGTTCTCCTGATTCGTCTCTCGTCCGCCATCTTGGACAAGATGGCGACGGTCTCTTGTGTACACTGCAGCCTGCATCTGGTCAGTAAAACACAATCCAGATCATCAGTCTTTGCTTTCAACGAGTCTGCGGCAGCCGCATGCGAGTCGAGTTGGCCTCGGGGCCCGCATCTTCAGCCAAGCACCGTGGCACCAAACCTCGCCTGATCAAGCCACTCGATCAACGGCCAGATTGACTTGGCTCATTGACTGATTGACGCCTTGAGAGTACTCCGCTACCACTGCCGCTTTCACATGGGCGCGACGCTTCCTTTAACTGGCCCACCCACGCTCAACCGCATCCTCCAAACCTCCCATTTTGCTTTAAACTACTCCTTGGAAGGGCAATAGGTCGTGTGCGCTGTTCCAACGTCACCTCGACTGCAGGCCTCGGTATCACTTCTCAAGAGTTCCTGTGTCCTTCTTTGAGTCGTCTATGAGTCTTCTGCTTCACGCTTCTGACAGCAACCGCCGCCGTGAAACCTGGTGCGCGTAGCCTTGTCTGCGCGAATCCGCCCTGAAATTGACGGCATCCACCATCTCTAGGTTAATGAAACACCAGATAGCCGCCCGTTTTTTACTTTAATTCTTGCCTCCTTCTTCCTTTTTATTTTCTCCTCCCCTGCTTGGTTGGACGGACAGCCCTGTCGCTTCATCCATCATGTCGCCTGCCGCTGCAGTCTCTGCTGCCGAACATGGTCACGTTCGCTTCATCCCCCTGAAATACGACAACAGTGACTCTCAACGCTCGGCAATGAAACTCATCCTCACGCTGTTTCCTCACTGGGCCGAGGACGAACCTCACATCGATTTTGTCCGTTTCACCGACGGCATCACCAACACCTTGCTCAAGGCAGTCAACCGCCGTCCGGGGCTCACCAAGGCTGACATCGACAAGGATGCTGTCCTGCTCCGAGCCTACGGAAACGGTACCGATGTCCTTATCGATCGTGAGCGTGAGGCAGCAAACCATGAACTCCTCATGAGATACCACCTGGCTCCTCAGCTGCTGGCTCGATTTGGCAACGGCATGCTCTACCGCTTCATCCCAGGCGCGGTCGCTCAGCCCAAAGATCTGGCCGATCCTCTCATCCTCAAGGCTATTGCTCGACGACTAGCCCAGTGGCATGCCACTGTGCCATGTATCCCAGACTCGTCCCTTCGGCGAAACAGCTCCACTAACGGCGACGCCAATAATCATGCCCTCCTGCTGAACGCCGCCGCCGGAAAGCCTATCCCCAATGTCTGGACGACGATGCAGAAGTGGATCTTGGCCTTGCCTACAGACACAGAGTCGCGTCGTGAGAGACGAGCTCTGCTGCAGGAAGAGCTTGAAAACATGGTCAAGCGTCTTGCCCACCGCCCTGGATTGGGTAACAATGGGGTATGTTGCCTGAGACACTCTACCCTCCCCCTCGGTCCCTTCCTCAATCCTACATCCGACCTTCACAAATTGACGTTTGCTAACCGACACGTGAATGTATAGCTGGTATTTGCTCACTGCGATCTCCTCTGCGCCAATGTAATTATTCATCGAGATGGCAGCACGGAGCCGTCCGTTAGCTTCATTGACTACGAGTATGGAACTCCATCGCCGGTTGCCTTTGACATTTCAAACCACTTTGCCGAATGGGTGGGCTACAATTGCGACTATGCCGCCATTCCCACCAAATTTCAGCGTCTTGCATTCATCCGAGAGTACATTGCCTCATACGCTAAATTGTCTGGCGAGGCAATGGACGAGGAAGAAGAGACTCGGAAGCTGATGGAGGAAGTGGATGTGTTCCGGGGTGTTCCCGGCTTCTTCTGGGGCATCTGGTCCTTGATCCAAGCCATGATCTCCCACATCGACTTCGACTACGCCTCATACGCCGAGGAGAGGCTCGGCGAGTATTGGGCCTTCAAGGCTGAAGATGACGGCACCCGTGCAGCCTCCGGCAAGCAAATACCCCTACGAGAAGAGAAATGGGCGAGCAGCGAATGATGAGTGTGCCAAGTGCACACACCCCACAGAAGAGATGGGTGAGCTAGGCCGTGAGAACAGGATAAGACTGAGACCGGAAAAAACCCCGGGGGGGTGTAATTGCTAATGCGCTCGCCTTCATCCGGAATTATCAGTTTGTGGTCATAAGTATTCGACCACTAGGTGGCGTTGAGCGACTCCAAAGGGGTCGAACTTCCTGAACCCCCGCTGTAGTACCTGATCTAGCCTCTGTCACCCCAAAAAAGAATCGTAACGATTGATTCTGGACAGAGACAGGACATAGCACGAAAACATTGCGGTTCCACCTACGCGGGTGCGGGTATTTTCTTGGTAGGGTCAGGCGCGGCGTTGGTATTTCAAACAAGCTGCCTAGTGGTCCATTTGAGACAGAGGAGAGACAGCTCAACCGTGGCATTATACATATAGATGGAGGAATGGCCATTCAAGTTAAAAGGCAGCCATTCAACATGACATACAGTAGCTTCGCAGGCGCCCGGATACGTACTGATTATTTTCAGCATACTATACACTATACAGGAGTAAATACATGGCGGCAATTGTGGAATTCATGAATAATAAAAGGGCACAGCGCGGCCTAGATCAGCAAACCAATGCTTATCAGCGTGACCCTTTGACGTTTCGGAATATATTCATCATGACCTGCCTTCGGTTTGCCTTGAGAAAGAATAAATGTTGGGTTGAAAGCAACATGGCCAACACAGGAGACTTTATCTGATCCGCAGGTTATCAAGTGTTGCTGCTGGAAGCATCAAAACGCCGATTGTTATTTTAATCTCATCCCTAATACTACCTACCGCAGGTGGGCTTATGCACGGCATTACCCACGGTCCTTGCTCCGGCTGTCGCATCCCTATACAGAAGACTCCCTGCTTCTCTGGCCACTGCATTCGTCCCAATCTACCAAGGTAGGTAGGTACTTGTTTGTTCTTAAACACGGAGTGTACGACCCCAGCCACCGACCCAATCTGTTCACCTGCAGGCAATGGGACACACACGTACAGACACATGGAGTACGGGGTAACTGTCAAGCCATAAGCCGTTAGCCAGCCAAAGTCGCGGAGCCTAGTCTGCCAAAAGATCCCATTAACGCCAACGAATCACAGCATGCTGAGGAGCACAGCCTTGGGGCATGGGTGCGTATACTGGAGTGATTTGGAGGTACTACTACTACTCCGTACGGAGTATTATTCTGATAATTGGGGCTGGAATGCAGTTAGAAAGTCCAAAGACCAATGGAATGCACCCTTCGAGGCGGTCAGAAACATTCCCACCTGGTCCGGCTCTGCTGTGACTCTTGTTTTATTCTTTTCGTTCTTGGGGAGAGATTTTGTGAGAGAGGACAAACAAGAGGTGAATGTAATAGACTGACAAAGGGTAAGCAGGATTAGATGAGCGATATTTCAGCTCATGTATGTGGTATGGAGCCCGAGGGATTTCGAGCGGAAGACGGGAAATGCAAGGACTGTCAGCTTGGGTACGTATGATGAACCTGCATCAGAGTACGTAGGCCATAGAGGTTGACAGCGACAGGGTCATGGGCGAGAGAAAGAGCCGGACTGGCTTGCGTTCCGGCGACACGGGCAGTCAAGTTGTGGGCTTCCGAGGCGTGGGCTTCCGAGGCGGATGGGCAATGGACGGCGGATGCAGGGCTGGGATGCAGACACAGCTCGTGACAGGGCTCTGGCTTCGGCCAGGCTCGTCGTTGCAGATTGAATGAGTTCGCAGAGCGGCCGACTGGGTGAGAGGTGAGTGTTGGAGGCGCCAGGGGAACTGGGCTGGCAAGCTCGCAAGCTGTCGAGACGGCTAGCATTGAACCCACTCGAGCACCTGGCACCTGGCACTTGGCATCTAGCACCTTCCTGGCCGGGTCCTCCCGCTGGGTGCGCAAGGGTTTGGGAGGAAAGGCCCTTGGGCTTCGAGGCTGGAGGTACGGACACGTACGTACCTGACATCATGTGCCAATGCGCAACAAACACTGTATGGGGACTCTGAGGCATAACGTCTAAAGTGTACTAATCCGTACAGTGTGAAATAGCGACTCCAGGACACCCGCCAAGTCCCTCCGGCGCCGTTGTCCCACTCACCCATCAAGCACCCACTTTCCCTAACCATAACGGCGTGGGTGCCCCTCCCCCACCGTGCTACTCCTGCGGCCTGCCATGTACATATCGCCCAAGCAGCCAAGTGCCAAGTTCATCCATGGAATAATACCACGGCGTCCAACGTCCGTCCCATGGCATCCATGGCATCCATGTCACTAAGTCCAAGGTAATGCTTCCCAGTCGCTGCCAGCTCCCTTGCTGGCATTGTTGATAACTACCATGTCGCTGCACGTTGCTGTTGCACGCCCCCCCTTCCTTCCCGCCAGAACGGACGCGAGACAGAAGAAAGGACGAGAAACGTCAAACGGCCCTGGTTGATGGCTGATGGCTGACGATAGCTGACCTGTTTGGCACCAGCAAGACATGGACTGTTCTGCATACAAACACACGCCGCCGCCACACACCCAGTCAGCAATCTGAACACAAACACGCAGACGGACAGCGCAGACGGACAAGAAACAGACGCACACCCACAAGCCAGAGAGACACACCAGTTGGCTCTTTTGAGCACTCACACACACCACCACTCCTCTGTCAGCTCTGGCTCTGCTCTGTTCGTCTCTGCTCCATAATACTCGCTCACACAATCCACATATTCCGTACTCCGTACTCCGTGCTCCGTACACAGGCACAGACACAGGACAGGACACACACACTGCCCCCCGTCGCGACGAGTGACGAGTCCCAGTCCCAGACTATGTTGTATGGGAAAGAAAACAAGCACCTTGTGTTGTTGAATGTCTCCCCTGGAAGCCAGAGCCCGATCCTGATCTTGAGCCTGAGCCTGAGCCATGGAACAAGGCCGATGTTGCTGGCACTCTCTTCTTGTTCCTGAACTCTCACCTCGGTTTTTTGCCTGAATTGTCGAAACGAGCTCCCTCGTTGGTTGACATCCCCCAACCAACCTCCATCACCAACCTAACATCCGCTGTACATTTTGGTACCTGCGATAGCAACAAGCGATATCGGGCTTCTCGCCTTGGGAGCGGCATCAAAAAGGGAAGACAAGGAGCCTTGACGCCAAGCTTATTCGCTCTTCGTCCCCTCCGAGGTAACTATGTCTATATGGTAGGCTTTGGGGGATGAAGTCGTGACTATGTCTGGCACTGGCGCAGATCATGCTGCGCCGGACCTCGGTGTCGCCATCCGCCAGTTACTCAACCAGCAAGCCGATATCCAGTCGAGGCTTTCTGTTTTGATCGCTGCCCGACATGGTCTGGAAATCCCAGTTGAGCTAGACATGTTACGCCATAAGCTGCGCGTTCTTGAGGATCTGGCAGACCACTACGGTATGTTGATAATTTTGTAATTTAAATATCAAGGTTTTTCTCTTCTTTTTTTGCGTCACTCCCGCCGCCTGGCATCTCGCGATATGCTAGGTGTACATGGGAAGAGGACCTTTGATTTCTTTGCTATACCTGCTGTATGACTTGTCGGGCTGTGAAGCAGACAATGTGGTTGAGTTCGTTGCTGACGGAAACCTCTCTGTCTTTGTGTAAGCAGATCTGGCATCCAAGATTCCTATTCTCTCTGGTCCAGAAGAAGCGCGAGCGCTTCAGTATCGGTGTGAATGTGTCGAGGCAGTATGCTTGCAAAACGGTATGTCGTTACAAATGAGTGCCTCTCCCTTACTAGTACAGAGGAAGCACGAGCTGAATGATGGCTAATGCGCCAAATAGAAGTGGATGTTATAGAGCCGTTGAGGAAGTCGCTGCCCTCGGCGCCGCCAGACTTTGGTATCTGGTTGGAAAGGCATCTCGAACTGCACGATTCGATTCCACAGCATCGCTCTGAAGCGCACGCAGAGGCGGTTGGGTGGAAACTTCGATCGATGCTATCTTTCAAATGTTGGCATGACCAATGCGCCCACTATGTTTACGGCTTCGCCAGCCAAGGAGAAAGAGACAGTCACAGTCTTATTCACCAATCCCCCGCAAAGAGGGATTCTGGATTCTCTGTGGAAACCTCTCCCCCAGTGCCATCCATCGGCGAGCAATCTCTTCGGCTTCTAAACAGTTCCCAATCGAATCGACATCCCCCACCAGTGCAAACTGCAAACCTGCCTCCGTCTTCTAGTTTATCAGTCATCAGCCCCCAACTTCCACCCGAAGAAAAGGACGACTTATCCGCAAATTATACCTTTCATGCACCAACCGGGCCCAGGGGTGTGCGCAGGAGCTCGAGTGACGCCGATATCGAAGCCATGCTACCGCCTTTAAAAAGATCAAAGACAAACCAACCGCGGTTAGAATCCATTGGAGAGCTCCAGCTATTTCCCGAGACAGGACCGTGCCTTCGGTGCAGAATAGCCAAGAAAAAGGTACACATACACTTTCCTTATACCTTGTCTTTGAATTATGAAATGATGGCTTGAGTTGCTGATAATGATGTTTTCCCATGTCTAGTGTGATACTAATAAGCCTTGTTCGAATTGTTCCGATAATCCCCCTTCTGGAAAGGAGGAGCATTGGGGCGTAATAGGCTGTTTTCGTAACCCGCTTGCTTCCTTTGCAGATATTTTGCTACCCGGTATGCTCTGTGCGCAAAGAACCTTTTTTTGCTTTTCTGACCACATTCACAGGGCCCATATCTCCAAGACAAGCCCGCACTCCAATAACATCCCCTCTTTCGCAACGCCGGGGCATAAACGAGTACCTTGAATCCGCTTGTTCTTTCCCCGACAACTTCAAAGAGATCGTCAAAGAAAACGCTGACTTTCCGGACGGTTTCTGGTGGTCAGCACATCTCGACTCCAGACACAGCTCCACCGACGGGACATCAGGATATAACCGCGATGCACCCAGGCGGGCCCCTCCCGTGCTCGCTGCCATCGCTAGTAGTTGGCACGCGCAGGATACCGCCTACGATCTTTTCCAGCTGCTTCGAATCACCGGTTCATTATCGACGTCGCGAGAAAATGAGGAGGCATCATTTCCAACATTGTATTCCGCCAAGTTATTACTTCGCGAGGCTATATTTTACGGAATCATTCACCCGGATCCTCTTTTTCGTGTTGGATCAACATTCAACCTAAAGAATCCACCCGAGGGAGTTGATTTAGACGAGCATATGCGGCAACTCGAGGACTGTCTGCTACGGTTTCTCCAATCATTTGAGATAATGTGCTCTTCTAGATCAGATAAACGACCAAGGGATCTTCTAGCGGAGTTTCTCTCGGTTTGTATTTTCAGCGCAACGAGGACGCTTTTGCTGGACATGGCCCCAGCTTTGAATGCTACGCCAGTGTTCCAGCACCAACTACGATCCCCGACAGGCAACACCAGCCACGTTATCCATAGCATGTACCGGGCTTTGGTCCAGCTATTCTGTTCATCCGGCCCGCTCTTTACAGATAGTTGGGAAGGAGGCATGTCCCATGAAGACTCGTCTCTCTATTACAGTATCAATCACCTAATTCGGAGAGATATGTGGGTAAATGAAGGGATCGAGTCAAGTGCCGATTTTCTTTTAAAACTTGGCGACAGCTATTTTGATAGTTGGGGTTTCAATGGCTTCCTTCGGCAGCGAAAACCAAACAGTTCAGCTTGGCAGTCGTCTTCCGCGCCTCTCCTTCGTTCTGTGCAAGAACAGCATCGGCCCCAGCTGCCTATGGTGGCACCGCCGCTTGGTCCCCAAATGTGGCATTCAAGTTTCCAAGATGACGTAGGGCTGCCGCAGCGTCGCACATCGGACCTTGGGAGTGTACCGTATGGTCCAGAGGTGGAAAGAGCACGACGGCATACAGTAGGTGAAGCATCTGTAACCCCAAGTCAGCTTGAAACTCCGTGGAAAGCTCCTGGCTCTCCGTCGCGATTTAGGTCTCCCTATCATCGACCTTTGCGACGCGTGTACTGCGTCAAGTGCAATGAGTACCCTGAAGGATTTCGAGGGGAACACGAGCTAAGGAGACATACTGATGCAAAACACTCGGCAATGGTTCGTCGTTGGGTTTGCTGCGAACCCGAAAATGCAAGAGATGCTTCCCTCAAACCAGTCGTGTCGCTATCCAGTTGCAAGGCATGTATGGCTCAAAAGCAGTATGGCGCCTACTATAATGCTGCCGCACACTTACGACGGGCACACTTTAGTCCTCATCGTGGTGGCAAAGCCAGTGGTGACTGGCCGCCTATGTCCGTCTTGAAAGATTGGATGCGAGAAGTACGGCAACCACTTGATCCTATGCAAGCAGAATATCTCAGCGGAGGGGAAGAAGACGGTGGTGATCCGGCATTAGAATCATCAACATCTACATCCAGGGCCATACCGGAAGCATCAGCGTCTAGGGCTTATATGGTGTCCCCTATAGACGATCCGTGGCGACGTGGGAGCTCAAGTCAGTCTACTCAATCCGGACCACGGCCGACGGATAACCGAAGCCAATGCCCTCACCCAGACTGTGGGAGGATAGTTAAAGATCTGGCGGCGCACATGCTGACACATCAAGAAGAGCGTCCAGAAAAATGCCCTATTGTCAGTTGTGAATATCATACAAAGGGATTTGCTCGGAAGTACGACAAGAATCGCCACGCTCTCACGCATTATCGAGGTACAATGGTTTGTCCCTTCTGTCCCGGAGTGGGTTCCCCATATGAGAAGGCCTTTTGTCGAGCAGACGTCTTCAAGCGGCATCTTGCCACAGCCCACAATGTTGATCAAACGCCAACAAATAACCGCAGCGGCAGTCTGGCGCATCTTCTGGACGGCCATGGCCCAACTTCTACACACAACTTTGGGGCCCGTTGCTCAATTTGCGGGGGCCGGTTTGCCACAGCGCAGGACTTCTACGAGCACTTGGATGAATGTGTACTTCGGGTTATTGTGCCTGTGCCCATACCTACCGCAAACCACACCCGTCCACAGCATTCAGAAGCGGCAGATTCTATCAGTCCGTTGCAAACTGAAGCCCCCAATAGAATGTCTTGACCCTCCCCCATTATGCCCCCTCAGTTTCGGCTATTAAGTTTGGCGACATTTTGATTTTTTTCAGAGGGTCTATGGCTAGACCGTTGTGCTTCACTTCGCCAGGGGATAAGGAGCTGCATAAAGCGGGCAGTTGGAAGGGAAATCTTTCCAGAACAGCTACTTCACAGCCGCTATTATATGTGGGAAGGAACATTTGGAGGAAAATACCCAAAGGAGACGCATCCTGTATCTGAGCATTGCAGTAAAACTCCAGCGGGTTTTTGATTTAGCACATCATACGATGGACTGGCGTTGTTTTTAGTTTAGAAAAGTGGAACGGAAACTACGGGAGGGGATAGGATATACCTACTACTGTCGACATGGCATGGTGTTGGGAGTTCAAAGACGTGGCGGGTACATTATTGTCAAAGAAGGCAGGTATTCTCCATATTCTCCATGCGAGATGATTTCTCTCAAACTTCTTCTTTTTTTCATGTTTTACGCTATTCTTCGTTTCGTGTAGGAATATTTGAAATCTTGGGGCTCATGAGTAAAAGACATGGTCGTGTGCTGAAGAAACTTGCTGCGCTCATTCTTGCCCGTAGTCAGAATTCAAAGTTCACAATTTAGATGGCATTGACGAATCTACAATCGCGCTAGGCCAAATCACACAATAATAAGCCAGATATGTTTTTATAGAAGAATTATTTTCACCACGTAGTGATCGTCTAACTGCACCTATAGTCTAGTTAATAGACCTGATAGACATGACATCTCAAGATGCCTGTGACAGCGATATAAATTCGCCATAGCAAATGATGCAAATACTAGTATAAACATCAAAACTGAGACCCTATAAAGACCTCCATGCCTTTTAGCCTGAAAACGCCGAAACAAAACCGCACATTGCCCAAAAGAAGCACCTCGAACCTGTGATGCTATGCAATATTCGTGATACGCCAGAAAGATGTATATATTCGTTTTGAGGTATATTGGGTGGTTATTTTGTATCACCACTAACCTTTTCACTGAGGACGCCGGGAGAGCTGTTCATATTTCCAGGGCTCGAGCGTTTGAAGTAGGCGTGAATCTCAGCAGAGAACTCACCATCGTCAGGCATGCCATGGTCATGGTCACCTTCAGTTTCCTTGGGCCCACGGGTAGCCTGGACGGCCTCCCACTCTGTTCGCATATCAGCAATCTTAGCCTTCCAGTCCGCCTCAGGATCATAGGTCTTGTGGAGACCACAGATGCGCTCCCACAGACTCAGATGTTGGGGGTGGACAGCGATCCCGTGATACTCATTGGCCTTGCCGTCACGAATATATCTCCACCGGCGCTCCTGTTCCTTGAGATCCAGACCGGTTGTGTCTGGGAGGTAGAGGAAGGTAAGGAACATGCCAGCAAGACCAAACCAAGGAACAACGTAGAACTTGGTCTGGTCGTCGATGTAGTTGTAGAGGACAGAGGCAAGCAGAGCACCAGCCTTGCCCATGCAGGCAGAGAATCCGTGAGCAGTGGCACGGATGGGAGTTGGGAAAACCTCGCCGGCAATCAGGAAAGTGACAGAGTTGGGGCCGAACTGGTTGAAGAAGGAAGACAAAAAGTACATGGCTTGGAAGGAGTGAATGCCTTCAGGACTAGTATAGTACTTGTAGCGGAAGGCAGGGATGACAAACATGAGGAAGCACATGAAGAAGCCAACCTGCTGCATCATCTTGCGGCCGTAAAGCTTGTTGTCGATGAGAAGAGATGCAAGATAGTAACCAGCCAGCGAGACGGTGATGTTGACCAGGTTCCAAGTCCAGTTCGTCATGAGAGAGTTGGGGTTGTTCGAGATAACCTTGATGAACTGACCCTGGAATAGTTTGTTGCCGTAGAAAAAGACATCGTTGCAGAACCAAGTGCCGGCAGTGGCTAACAAACGGCCACCGAAGTGGGTGAAGCAGAAGCGTAGGGCAGTGACGTCGTAGCCAGTGACATTGGTACGGTTCTTTGCTTGAGCGAGTTGCTTAGAAGCGTTGGGCATCTTCCAAGTTCTGTAGTAGACGAGCCAGAGAGTACCAATCGCAGGGAAAGCGAAAGACAGACGGAAAGCATACTGAGCAGCCGAGGTGGTGTAAGGTGGCGCGCCAGATCCCTTGTTGAAGATGACAAGCAGGACAATGAGGAGAACCTGGTTGACAAACTGACCCCAGCCCTGCATCAGGAAGGCCATGGTGACACGGCGGCCACGGTGGAGACGATCCTCCTTGGTGGACATCTTGCCAGCGGTGACAGCATTTTCGAGAGAAGAGGTGGCGGTAATAGGGTACTCGCCACCGACACCCAGCGAGTAGAAGAACAAGGACCAGGCGTAGCAAATGACCCAGCCCTCGAGAGTAAGGCCCCAAGAGGCAGTGAGCATGAGAAGACCAACAAACATGATGATGGCATCCTGGATCAAGCCCCAGCGACGACCAACCCAGTCACCAATAACCTAGAAAGAACAAGGCATTATTAGTTAGCAATTGGACTTGGTAAGGCGACGCAACGGTAGGATTGGAAGAAGACTTACGCCAACAAAGACCTGGCCAACCATGATACCAATAATCTCAAGGTATGTGACACTAGCAATCCAGTTCTTGCTGCAAACCTGGTGCTTTCCCCAGCATTCAGGCCAGACTTTGGCGAAGAGTGGCTCCAAGTTGCCAATGGAGAAGAGAACATAGCCTTCGAGACCGAGACCAGCACCGGGAATAACGGCATGTCGGAAGTACCAGGAAAGGGGAGAAAGGGGATCTTTCTTCATCATCGAGCCAATAGTGGTCAATTCCTTGGCAGCAGCCTCACGATCAACTTGGCTAACAAATTTGACACGCTGCATCCATGGCAAATCAGCCCAGTACACACCATCAGGTGTATATGAGTCGTCGGGACGAGTTACATGGCTGAAAATGCGCTGCTCGTCGGGGGTACCGTGTTGAATGATGAAGTCATCGCTGTCGTGGTCGCCAGGAGGCCCGTGGGGAATGGGAATTTCGCCAGGAATAGACTGGTGGTGATGATGGTGATGATGGTGGTGATGAACTCCCGAATCAGAGTCGGACGAATCAGGACCGGCCATCGGATGTTACTGACCCCGCGGGAGATGGTGCCAAGCAGATTTGGGCGGCAGATTGGATCTGTTTGAGGCGCACCGAGAGACAGATGCAGGCAGAGAAGGGGTGTGTCGGGAGCGGAGGGCGGATGGCTGAACGGGCCAACACACAGCCAGAGACGTGCAGGGCAAGAAAATGTAGGTCCGTTTCAATCTGATTTGATGTTTTTCGCAGATTGATGGGAGCAAGACCTGGGAGAGGAGCCTGGTTTTGTAGCAATGTAGGAACGGCAGGCGAAAAAGTTATTTCGTCGATGGCCGCCAAAGTCGAAGGGTCGAAGGGATTGGCCCCAAAAGTCAAATTTTCAAGAAGAAGACAAAGGCAGAGGCAAAAGACCGGACACAAGAAGCGGCTGCCACCGTCGCAGAAGCCGAGGCGTGTTTGGCAGGAACTACTAGCGGAAGGAACAACGGAGTGAGTGCAAGCACGACAACACGGCTGACGATACAAGAAGAGCAAAGAAGCAGCGCAGCTTTCTCTTTAAGTCAAGTACCTCGTTGCCTCCAAAGAATGGTGAGGAGAAGCAGAGCAAAGCAATAATGCCCTGACCAAAACAACCGAGCGACGTGCAAAATCTCGAGGTCGCTTGGTCTCTTTAAACCAGATACCATGACGCACATATCCGTTTTCGACGACCGAGACCACGGACGATGGCGAGAGTGAATTGGACCAGTTAAAGGCGTCCATCGGCCACCGTGCTCGATCGTCTGGCTACGAAGGGTCCAAAAAGCTTTTTTCCTACAGGATCCAAGCTGTTTTCGCACCTCGCTGGGACTTGGGCTGGCTAGTCCACTGTTGAGCCACCCGGCGCCTTCGAAGTATCTGGGCCGCACACGCATGGAAGCTCTTACTGGAAGAAGGAGCCAGCAGACACGGCGGCCAAAAAAAAAACCCTTGTGCAATGGAGTAATAATTGTACTTGCTACACGAATTTTGATGCAAAATGGGACATCTGGTTGGCTGGGCAGGGGGGGCATGCCACAAGCTTGACATGGGTGAGGGGCCATCTCCAGCCACGCCGACCGGGGGGGACCCAGAAATCTGGGGACAATCTGGAAGACACGCACCAGAGGCCGAAAAGGAAGCAACAGTCAGCATAATCAATATCGCCGCCTCCGGCCACCTCCACGTCTGCGTTCGGGTCAGGCGGCACTCGCATCACGCGCGGCTGGTCAATCAATGGATGCCACCGCCAACGGGAAGCCACTGCTCAACCCGAAATGCGACGCTTATTCTTATCCGTCACCGAACTCGTGCAGTCCTCGTGCATATGTCAATCGCTCGACCCCGACCCTCATGCCTCGTCGCATCTGGTGCTACAGCACTCCCAAATACCTCACCGAAAGGGCAGTTGGTCGCGTGAGGACCCGCCAGCCCTTTGCTGCAGACTCTGCAGACACCGCAGCCAAGCCAAGCCACCTCGGCTACCATGGTTCATGATCCCTGCCAAGCATCCAGCATTTGTTTTGGCATTTCTTCAAGCACCGGCGCTCGTCCACTGCACTGCCGGACAATTTGTCGTCGGCCAAGCGCCATCTTGCCACGGAGCTCACGCAAACCTGCTGCATTTGCCAAGGTTTTTATTTTAGGTGGCATACCGAGTAGTATGTCGTGATAGGACTAGTACTCCAAGCTGGGCGGCATCTGCAAATAATATCAAGAATGCCTTGATGAATTGGCCCTGGACCCTTGGACCCTGGACTTCAGAATGCCCATCTGCTACATACCACTACAACGTGCCGTAAACAAGGCTTCATCATGCCAGCAGGGCCTTTCCCTTCTCCGCATTCAGACCATGATGCGTCTTGACAGAGTACCAAGTACTACTACAAGTACCACCTGTGCCCCCTCGAGACCGCCTCGGGCTCCCCTCGCATTATC